GTGTCAGGTCAATATTTCCCTATATATACAGCAAGGAGCACTGATGATGATTCATTCGGAATCGAAATATGGCCTTATTTTCAGCATGAATTCGAAAAATAAGTTTATTTTGAATTTTAATAAACTAAACTTTCACCTTAAACTTTAGTGAGAAAAATCGAAAAAACGAACTACAAACATATTAACGCCAAACATTCGGTAGAATTTATAGAATATTGTAATAATTATGTATATCTCTATATCCAACATATATCTATATCTATCTATCTATCTATATATATATATATATATATATATATATATATATATTCTATATATATATAAACGCATAAAAGAATGACGTCATAATATCTAAACATATAACAACATCAACAAACATATGTGTATATATTTGTACTCATATACGTACATATAATGCATACAAGCATGTATGCATATATGTATGCGTTTATGTATGCATGTATGTACAATATTGTATTAATTCTGTTGAATTGTTGGCAATGCCAACAATTCAGTAGATTGTCTCCTTCCAACATACATATATGTATATATGTATGTATGTATGTATATATGTATGTATGTATAAATAACAATGTATATATATATATATATTTATATGTATACATATATGTATGCATACATATATATGAGTGTGTATATACATATAGGTGTATGTGTTTGATTGTATAGAGAAGCGTCAATAGCATGTTTGATGGCTGCTCCATCGTGCCAAGTTGCTGCTGCTGCAGACAAAGAAAAAATCAATAGCTTCTTTAATATCTCTCTGTCTTCTTCTTCCTCTTCCTCAGCTAGTGCTGCTGCTTCTATTGCTTCTACTGCTGCTGCTGCTGCTGCTGCTGAATGAGCAATATCCACATCATTACCATCATCGTCGTCATCATCTTCATCATCGTCGGCGTCATGAATTGTATCATCGTCATTATCATAATCGTCATTATTATATCATCGTCATCATGATATCATAGTTAACATGATACCATCGTCCTCAAGCTATCACTGTCATTATTACCATCATTATCATCATTATATCATCGCTATCATTAAATCATCGTCATCATTATTTCAAGGTCGTCATTATATGATTATCATCATTCTATCAATGTCATGTCATTATAGTATTATCGCCATCATCATATCATCATCGTCATCATATTATCAATATACATTGATATTATATAGATTGTATCATCTTCGTCGTTATGATATCATCGACATCAATGTATCATCTTCGTCCTTATATCATCATTGTCATCTTGATATCATCCTAGTCATCATCACCATCATCGCCATCATTCTATTTCCTTCTTCTTT